GCTTAGCTGTTTGTAACGATCCAAAAATACGATTTTGGACTGTTCAAATGGATTTTAAAGAAAAAATAAAAAGCGAGGGGTCCGTGAAGAACACTGGAGTTGAGCCTTTTGTCAACCAGTGTCTTCAGTAGAAAGAGAGAGACGAAGAAATGATGAAGCCCATAAATGAAAATGAGGTTGATAATTTTCATTTATCGTGTGATTAATTGATTTATTGTTTTTTGCAACAGGCCTAGTTAAAAACCCATTAAAATACACCAAAATGCAAGAAATCACATGTACTTTATTTAAAATTTCTGTTGGAGGACACCCCCCACACACACACACACACTGCGTTCATCCATCAGTTTTGAAATTAAACCCTGTCTCTTGGCATGAATACTTAAGATTCTGCTCAGTTTTATGTAAATAGTGTTCTGTAATAATTTGAAGAAGCGGTGATACATTTATCGTGTTCATTATGTGAGTAAAGTTTTAAAGTGTTTTTTGACACTGTTAATTTTCTCAAATTAAATGTATCTTGAATGAAAAATACCCCATGTATAAAAATTGTATTAACACCATTAAAGAGCAGGTGTTAAGTATTTATGTTACACAAATACTTCCATTGCATTAATGAGACAAATTGAATAAAAGTATTTATTAAACATGAGGGTTGGGGGGGGGGGGGGGGGTCCCTGAAACTTCTTCTCCTTTGTAAGAAACCCAAAAAGTTTGAGAACCCCTGGTTTAGAAAATGTATTTTAATAATGTTTTGATGCGGTTTTCCTCTGAGCATTTCGATAAATTGGGAGAATGTTGCGCAATGTCCGTATTCAGGCAGGAGCAACAGAGCACCGATCGCTGCTTTGTTCTCAGACAAAGCTGGAGGATAACGGAGTGGAAAATGACGCTCTGCTGGCTCTGCAGCGCCTTAATGTTTCAAGTTTGTTGCATGAGTTCGTTTGGTTCCTCAGGTAGTACTTCCATAAACATGCGCGCTTTTTAAAAGTACTTTAGAAGAGTTATAGTCGGGTTGTGTCGCTGCCGCTCCTGTTCGGGCTGAAATCAAATCAGTTAGCGCGCTAGCTTAAACTAGCTTTAAGCTAACTGTTAAAAGTGTTTACTCTAGCTAAAACAAACAGTTAAATCCTGTTCATATTTTGGTCTTTCACGCATAAACTGACTGTGGGTTTGAAATAAGTTTTCTAGCCTAAAATTAAAGTCCTAACTTTAATCAATGGAATGCATATCGCCCGCCGCCTTTCATTTAAAATAAAATCACGTTTACGCTGAGAAGTGACGCAGTTTGGGTCATTCTGTGCTCAAAGCACGTGACCTCAATAAGATAAAACTTTATATTTTTTATTGACTCACTTGTACTGTAGATACATTTGATGTACAGGCTAACTGAAAAGGATTAGTGGCGGCCATCTTTATTTGGGATGACGTCAGAGGTGAATGAGTTGTAGATGATCTAAGGATGGCTTTATTCAACTGCTCAGTGGTTCATGGGATATTTTGCTAACAGAAACCCATAGAGGCACGGGCTAAAACAATATTGGACGTTGTTGAAGCCTTTTGTTCTCGCTGCTTCTGTTGTAGTTGAACAAAAATCCACGTGGACGCTTGATGTTTCAGTTTGCTTTGTGCGTCGTTGCAGACAAACCGTGGAGGAACATCCGAGAAAAGATTTCTGATGCCGTTCGAGGGTACGCGCCGTGCAGTTCTGCCAACTGCAGCTGCCATCTTGGGTGAGTGTTGTTTGTCTCGGCGAGGGGTTTGGAACATTTAACATGGATGAAGTCTTGAGCAGGGAGGCCCACACGTCTCTTTCCACAGCCACCTCTTCCAGCTCTGGAGGACTCCAAGGTGCATGTCCTGGGTCTTCCCTGGAGTCTCCTCCCTGTTGGACATGCCCGGAAAACCTCCCTAGGATGGTGTCCAGGAGGCAAATGCTTAAACCACCTCAACTGGCTCCTTTCAATGTGGAGCAGCACCTTCTAGTCTCTCCTGGACTTTTGAACTTCTCACCCTGTCTCTTGAGGGTCCAGCAGGCTCCATTCAAAGCCAAACAGTCGGCTTTTATAGTCCAAGAGACGCACAGCTCAGAGCTCTTGGAAAACCCCTCCCGCTGCAATACACACCGTACGTATATTCTTCTCGCCAGGATCGCCACTCCGTCCCTGCCGCAAATCCGTGATGAAGAAAGCGCCACGCTTTGCAGAAGGCGGACCTTCGTGAACAACGTTTGCTAAGTGCGTCTTATAGTCCGACAAATAATACGTGAACGAGAGCGGGTTTTGCAGCTTCAGATGAAGCATGCAGGGCCCTGAGCGTCCAGCTACGCTGCAGAGAACTCATTTCGACCACTTGTAATCGCGATCTTGTTCGTTCGATCAATAAAGTTTTTGATTATAGGTGAGGACGGGAACATAGACCGACAGGTAAACGAGAGCTTCGCCTTGCAGCCTCTTCACCTCAACGGACCGGCAGAGTCCGCAGTACTGTGGAAGCTGTAGCACTTGAGTGAATTTACAGATGCACGTTGCTGCCATCCCAGCAAAACTACAATAAAATATGTTGTAATGTGAAAATAATCAGTGTTTTAACAATATTTGTTTTACTTTATAACAACCTGTGGTCATAATATCACAGTAAGATGCAGCTAATATTTATAGTCAATTCAATTCAGTTTATTTATAAAGCGCCAAATCACAACAAAGTTGTCTCAGGGCACTTTACAGAAACATTCACGTGCATAAAAAAGACAATTATTAAGGTTCTCTATCTAAGGAACCCAGCAGACGAGTTGAATCTTGGCTTCGTTGCAGTCTCCCATCCTGAGCGAGCACAGTGGCAACAGTGGAAAGGAAAAACTCGCTAAAATATTATTTACATATAAATATTTCTGTTCAGTGCCTTGAGATGACTTCTGTTGCGACTTGGTACTATATGAATAAACTGAAATTAACTGGAGGAATTACATTTCCTGCGAAAATGCATTGTGGATGCTTATTGCTGAAGAATTTGCTGAACAACAGCTGAAATTAGCTAAAAACGTGCTGAAATATAGCTGAAATGGAAGCATAAGTTAGCAGAAGAAAGCATAAAGAACACATTTGCTGAATTTGGTTTAAATAAGCACAAAAAATAGTAAATTAGCTACAAAAGAGCTGAAATCAGCAAAAATAGCTGAAAATGCAGGAAGAAGCGTAAATTACCAGAAGGAAGTGGAGAGAGCACATTTTTACTGAATTGGGCTGAAAAAAAGTTTGAGTACAAAAAATGTGGAATAGGCTGAAAATGCTCAAAGTAGCGTAAAAACAGCTAAATAGTAGCTGAAATGGCAAAATAAGCTGAAACTTGAATAATTCAATGAAAAGAGCATAACAAGCTGAAATCAGCAGAAAGAAGTTAGAAGAACAACATAAATGTTAACGGAAAGGAGCACATAACAGCTGATAAAGCAGCTGATATTAGCTAAAAACATGATGAAATATACCTGAAATGGAAGAGCAAGCTTAAGTTAGCAGAAGAAAGCAGAAAGAACACATATTTGCGGAATTTGGTTTAAAGAAACAGAAATGAGCACAAAAAGTAGTAAATTAGCTTTAAAAAAGCTGAAATCAGCAAAAATAGCTGAAAAGTAGCTGAAAAGGCAAGAAGAAGCTGAAATTACCAGAAGGAAGTGGAGAGAGCACATTTTTGCTGAATTAGGCTGAAAAAAGTTTAAATGAGTACAAAAAAGGTTGAATAATCTGGAAATGCTCAAATTAGCATCCAAACAGCTAAATAGTAGCTGAAATAGCAGAAACAGGTGAAAGTTGCAGAAATTCGATGAAAGGAGCTTAACAAGCTGAAATTAGCAGAAAGAAGTCAGAAGAACAAAAATGTTGTAGTTTGCAGAAGGGAGCACAAAACAGCTAAAAAAAGGCTGATATTTGCTAAAAACATGCTGAAATGGAAGAACAAGCCTAAGTTAGCAGAAAGAACGCATATTTGCTGAATTTGGTTTAAATAACCAGAAATGAACATAAAAAATAGTAAATTGGCTTAAAAGAAGCTGTAATTAGCAAAATTAGCTGAAAAGGCAGAAAGAATCTTAAAATATCAGTACCAGAAGAAAGTGGAGAGAGCACAACTGCCCAGTCAGGCTTAAAGAAGCAGAAATGAGCTCACAAAAGTGGAAATTATTTGAAAAAAGCAGAAGAAAAAAAGAAAAAAACTGCTGAAATTTGCTGAAAGTAGCTGAAAAGTTTTTTTTTTTAATTGAACAAGGAAGCTGAAGCAGAGCAAAATGTGGAAGGAGCAGTAAAAGGTAGTAAACAGATCTAAAGATTTTGAAGGATGAAAAATGAGCTCAATTCATTTCCTATGAGAAAAAAAATGGCAGAAAAGGCTAAATATTTCAAAAAGCTAAAGTTGCACCAATACCGAAAGTCATAGCACCCTTCTCCTGAGCTGAAAGTTTTGATATATTGTTTAAGTCAGGTCTCCTTGTAAATGAGTCTTTACACGATGGATGCCGAAGAATGTACGGAATAGCTAAAGTAGCAATAATAAATATAAACAGGGTCACAATAGGGTGAACGCTTAACAATAATCTGAAAATGTAACAACCTCGAAGTCCATACCTGCCGTCATCTCACCTTTTCATTCTCTGTTTCAGCGTCCTTCAGCGTGACCTGGAGCCGTTTAGAGGAGGAGTTTCTGCCGACCTCATGGCCTCGGCGGTTCAGAGGGGGGTGGGCACCCACTACCAGATTATTGGACACAAGCTGTACAGAGAGAGCAGCTGCATGTTTCCTGCCAGGTTTGTTCTGAACGCACCTGGATGGTGTCTCTTATGATCCTGCGTGGATCTCTGACGCTCCCTGAACTCTGCTTGCAGGTGCAGCGGAGTGGAGCATTTCATCCTGGAGTTGATCGACCGCCTACCAGACGTGGAGTTGGTGGTGAACGTGAGGGATTACCCTCAAGTCCCCAACTGGGTGCAGCCGACTCTGCCCGTCTTCTCCTTCAGTAAGGTCTGGATCTTTGCCCACACTTAGAAACACAAATATCAGTGTTCGTGGAGCGACTCATGTCTGATTTTTGTGTTTTTCTTTAAGTAGACCTCAGAATACCAGGACATCATGTACCCAGCGTGGACATTTTGGGAGGGTGGGCCTGCCGTGTGGCCCATATACCCCACTGGACTGGGAAGATGGGATCTGATGAGGGACGAGCTGAAAAAGTACGGTTCAGCAGTCGGAAGTCAGGAGCAAAACGATCGTTAGCTTTTAAATCGGGACTCTCTTCTTCAGGCTCGGTAACTTTCTTGAACAGAGCCTTCAAACCGGCGCTCTCACAGACAACTAGCTTGTTGCCATATCGGTAAATTTCAACAACCTACGAATCGTTTTGAAGCTTTAGAGTTTAATTTATAAATAAATATACCTTAATAGTATCAAATGTCCTCATTAGAACACATTTTATCAGCTTGGGTTACATTTTCCAAAAAAAAAAAAAAAAAGTGGAATGTTCCCTTCCGTTCAGTGGATTAGGGCCTCCTTTGCAATAATTAGTATGTTGCTCCGGTCCATCGTGGTGACGCAAGGCGCCAAGCCTGAAAACAAAGCTTTTGATGTACCGGTCTTCCTATGTTCTAACTCGTGAGGAAGGGATGACGAGCAAAAGACGAGTTCCCTGAAATTATCTTCGTCTGAAGAGAGGCCGTGGTGAGGAATCGCAATCTACCGGTCGATTGCAAAGGTGTTATGGGTAGCTGGCATGGCGTTAAAAAAATAGACGTCAGCCGATCATCCATGTATGAAATTTGTCACTTGACTGACAGACAGGGCAGCCAGTCTGAGGCCTCGTGTGCACGACGTGAAATGTTCTGCCGTTCATTCATTAAATAACAGTTATAATAAATAACAGTTATAATAAATAACAGTTATAATAAATAACAGTTATAATAAATAATATCAGTTATAATAAATAATATCAGTTATATTAAATAACAATTATAATAAATAATAACAGTTATAATAAATAATAACAGTTATAATAAATAACAACAATTATAATAAATAATAACAGTTATAATTAATAACAACAGTTATAATTAATAATACCAGTTATAATAAATAATATCAGTTATAATAAATAACAGTTATATTAAATAACAGTTATAATAAATAACAACAGTTATAATAAATAACAACAGTTATAATAAATAATATCAGTTATAATAAATAACAACAGTTATAATAAATAACAACAGTTATAATAAATAACAGTTATAATATATAACAACAGTTATAATAAATAACAACAGTTATAATAAATAACAGTTATAATAAATAACAGTTATAATAAATAACAACAGTTATAATAAATAACAGTTATAATAAATAACAACAGTTATAATAAATAACAGTTATAATAAATAATATCAGTTATAATAAATAACAGTTATAATATATAACAACAGTTATAAAAAATAACAACAGTTATAATAAATAACAGTTATAACAAATAACAGTTATAATAAATAACAACAGTTATAATAAATAACAGTTATAATAAATAATAACAGTTATAATAAATAACAGTTATAATAAATAATAACAGTTATAATAAATAACAACAGTTACAATAAATAACAGTTATAATAAATAACAACAGTTATAATAAATATAACAGTTATAATAAATAACAGTTATAATAAATAACAACAGTTATAATAAATAACAGTTATAATAACTAACAGTTACAATAAATAACAGTTATAATAAATAACAACAGTTATAATAAAAATAACAGTTATAATAAATAACAGTTATAATAAATAACAATTATAATAAATAACAGTTATAATAAATAACAGTTATAATAAATAACAGTTATAATAAATAACAGTTATAATAAACGGCAGAGAGCAGAGTGTTTTTGCGCCGCTCACTCTTTTTCAGCATGTAGGAGCAAAACTAATAAAATCCAGTTACAAAGAGACGTTAGTGGATTCACCAGTCTGGACCAACTGCAGTGTTTCCCCTACCATTATAAAAGGGAAGCGGGGCGCCCCATCAACGGAACCGAGCGCCCTGTTTACCGAACCCCCTCCCTCACTTCGTTGACAACTGTGGCACGAGTAGGTCTGTCGCAATAAATCAATTAATCGCATGATAAATGAAAATTATCGACCTCATTTTCATTGATCATCTTTATCGTTTCTTCGTGTCTCTCTCTTTCTACTGAAGACACTGGATGAAAAAAAAAACCTCAACTCTGGTGCTCTTCACTGACCCCTCCCTTTCTCTTTTTTTTAAAAACTGTTTTAAAATCCAAAGTTGCGTTTATGGATTGTTAAAAGTAGCTAAACTGAGAAGCTAAGCTACGAGCTAAGCTAACAGGCCAACCGCGGGGAAAACACCTCCATCTTGTCGAAGCTCTAAAATTGACTGTTGAAACCCGTGCCTCCATGTAAAAAGTTGTTTTTCTCTGCAAAAAGAAACTGAGAACTTGTTTACTGTTTTTTTTTATTTTATTAAAAACTTTGTGTGACAAATGCTATGCTAAAGAGCTTAAATCACCGAGCGTCTGCCATTTTGAGAACCGGAAAAAAGGAAAGAGAGACAGCCCATGTCATATCAAGGGGCCTCCCTCCCATTTTTCTTAAAGAGACATTCTACTCGCTCCCTCACTATCCATCCTTCGGTTCAGACAGTCTTATACCATCCAGTGGTCGAAAAAAGGTACTATACACAAAAATGAACTAACATTTCTTCTTAAATTTGAGAATAATTATTAATTATTGTTAAATTTCAAACAATATCATCGTTTATTGCAATAATTTCTGAGACAATTAATCACCCAGCAAAATTTGTTATCGCGTCAGACCTAGACACGGAGTGCAATGCAAATGCGCTAGCTAAAATGCTACTGACATACGTGCTGCTACACCCCCCCCCTCCCCCAATTGACATTCACCGGCAGCAATGTAGCGTTAGCAAGCGGACAACACGCACATGCTGCTTTTAACAACGTGCATGGACCGACAACAAGTCGTTGAATATCCTACATTTTATCCGTTTGTCCTTTTTATGAGACAGACTTTAAAATAAAAACCTGTTTTTTAATTTAAGTGTTCTGTCTGGATCTTCTTAGGTCTGCAGCTCGGTGGCCCTGGAAGAAGAAAGAGTCCAAAGGGTTCTTCAGAGGCTCCAGGTCAGTTTTGTAAGGAGCTGCTGCGAGTTGACGTCAGGAGTTACTGCTTGTTTTCATGTTCTGTCCACCCCCCTCCCTCTGCAGAACCAGCCCGGAGCGCGACCCGCTCATCCTCCTGTCCAGAGAAGCTCCTGAGCTGGTGGACGCAGAGTACACCAAGAACCAGGCCTGGAAGTCTGAAAAGGTCTTCTTCGTGGCACAAGACTAAGAAAACATTCTTTGGCACGTTGGAGAGCGTGTCTGAGGTTCATTTCTTCTCTCTCTCCGTTAGGACACACTTGGGAGGCCCCCGGCTAAAGAAATCCCTCTAGTAGATCACTGCAAATGGAAGTAAGAAGCTCTTTTTAAACAAAGTCGTGGTTAAAGCTATAAAACAGGACTGCGGTGCGTTCACTGACCCTGATCCTGGCTCGGATATTTGCATTAAAGTCCATATGTCTCCATAAAAATATGGATGAAAACTGGTTGACCAGTTTTCAATGATTCAATCGTCGCCTCTCATTTCAGCAATAGTCCTGATCTTTTGTAGTGCGGTTCTGTGGAGACATTATGAACAGTCACCGTCTTACCTGGTGCAGATAGCTTTTCAAACACACCCCAGTTTGGAGAAAAAGTTTAATCCCGATCAAACTGACGAGCTAACGGCTAATCTGAGCAGAGCTGGGACCGAAGCAGTTTAAACTAAACGCACAACTCCAGTCGCAAAAACTTCACAACGGTTCATTCAAACGCTATTTTATAAACTTTTACGTCGCTTTTAGTTTTTATGTGATTATGTCCAAGCACAAATAGAAGCAGCAGCAGCTAGCTGTAATGGTTTAAGTCCAACTTGGCACTATTCCAGCAGGAATATCATAATTTTTCTGTCTGATAATATACTGCATGATTAGCTAACGGCTAATATAAATGAGGCTAAGATCAAAGTAGATTGTTCCCGTTTGTCTGAACTCTCTTTTTTTTTTGTATAACTTACTTTGCTGCATGAAGTAAAAATATTTCTGCAAAATGTGCCTCTGACTACACTGGAAGTGCTACAGCTAGCTGCTACACAACCATAGACTAATATATAAATGCCTTTCAGTGTTTCCTCTAGATCAGTTCCCTTGGCAGGGCGCTCGTCGTATTTTTATTTTATTTAATTTTTTGGTGGGAGGAGTCATGTCTAGCTTAGCGCTACATTGCTGCCGGTCTTTATGGGGAGGGGGAGCGGTACGTCAGTAGTATTTTTGCTAGCACGTTTGTATTGCACCCTGAACTACATCAATACCAACAGTTGTTGACGGAGTGTGTGGTGGCGGAGTCATATCTGTGTTGCCCGCCTGCTAGCTTAGCGCTACTTTGCTGCCGATTATTATCGATAACGGATTTTTTTTGGGGGGTGGGGGGGGGCAGAGTCACATCTGTGTTGCTTAGCGCTATGTTGCTGACTGTTTTTATTGACATGGGGGGCGCGGATCAGTACGTCAATAGCAATTTTGCTAGCGCGTATGTATTGCGCCCTGTGCTACATCAATACTAACAGTTGTCAGCGGGGGGGGCTCAGTTCTGTTGACGGGGCAGGGTGCCCCGCTTGTATAATAGTAGGGGAAACGCTGCTTTTTCTAACAGCGTTCATGTGAACGGCTGCAAAAAACTGAAACTGGAGAGAACTTTGGTCTTGACCCCACTCAGACTAGCCATTAGCTCGTCAGTCCTTTAAAGCTGAAGTGGTTCAAGGAGTTACCTACAACAGGTAAGATACTGATTGTTCATATGATTTAGTTTAGAAATCCATTTCACGTTTTCAGGCCGTCGATAAAAGCTAAACGCTACAAGTTTGATAAATAAATAAATAAAACGGTGAGAGCAGTTCTGAAGCAGCTCTCCTCCACCACCCACAGGTACTTGTTCAACTTCCGGGGCGTGGCGGCGAGCTTCCGCCTCAAACATCTCTTCCTCTGCGGCTCGCTGGTGTTTCACGTTGGCGACGAGTGGCAGGAGTTTTTCTACCCCCAGCTGAGACCCTGGGTCCACTACATCCCGGTCAAACAGGACCTGTCCGACGTCAGGTACACCAAGAGCTGCTTTCTAACGTATTGGTTCTGTGTGTCCGAGTCTTAAGGTCTCGTGTCCTCAGGGAGCTTTTACGATTCGTCCAAGAGAACGACGAGGCCGCTCAGGAGATCGCCACGAGGTAACGAATCATATGTTCTATCTGTGTTCAGATGGAAGTTTGTTTTACAGCTCTGTTCCTCCACACAGGGGTCAGGAGTTCATCCTCAACCACCTACGGATGGAAGATGTCACCTGCTACTGGGAGAGACTCCTCACCGAGTTCAGCCAGCTTCTCACCTACAAACCCAGCAGGAAGTCCAGCTACAAACAGATGGTCCAGAAACCCAGCAGAACCGAGCTGTAGGGCTCTGCTGGAGTGGACTCAGCCTAATGAATGTGCTGCCAACTGCTTCAAGTTCTGGTGCTCCTCATAGTTCAGTTAAAAGCTGCAGTTGCTTCCAGCGGCCACCAGGGGGCGAGCGAGCCAGCATTTCTTTCTGCCCACTGTGCGAATGTTTATTGTTCGCTCTGATCCATTTGTCTTCCGTACGTTTTCCGGCATCTTTCTCTCGTTCCACAATTTTTGTGCCATTTCCACAAATCGTAAATCAAAAATGTTCAGCTCATTCAGGAGAAGGGTGTTATGACTTTTGGTGTTGGTGCAACTTTAGCTTTTTGAAATATTTAGCCTTTTCTGACTACTTTTTCCCCTCAGAAAATGACTTTAGCTCATTTTACATACTTCAGATCTGTTTACAACCTTTTACTGCTCCTTTCACATTTTGTTCAGCTCCAGCTTTTTTGTGCAAATTTAAAGTTTTTTTTTTCAGCTACTTTCAGCAGATTTCAGCTGTATTTTGGCTGTTTTGTGCTCTTTTCAGAGCCTTTCTGCTACAACATTTTTGTGCTTCTAGCTTTCTGCTAATTTCAGTTTATGCTCTTTTCAGCTTATTTCTGCAAGTATCAGCTTTTTTGGCTATTTTAGCTACTATTTAGCTGTTTTATGCTAATCTTAGGGTTGTTTTTTTTTTTAGCTAATTTCGCATTTTTTGCACTCACTGCAAATTTTTTCAGCCTAATTCAGCAAAAATGTGCTTTTCTCGTAATTTAGGCTTCTTTATGCCTTTTTAGCTACTTTTCATCTGGTTTTATTTTCTCCAGTTAATTTCCACTTTTATGTGCTTATTTCTTCTTATTTCAGCCTAACTGAGTAAACTTAGTTTTTGCTAATTTAAGTTCTTTCCGCTTCTTTCTAATATTTTAAGCTTCTTTTTGCCTTTTCATCTGATTTCAGCTTCTTTTTTTTTTTTATCTATTTTTTCTGCTTATTTCAACTTAATTTTGCAAATATGTGCTCTTTCTTTTTTCTTCTGCTAACTTAGGCTTGTTCTTACATTTCAGCTGTTTTTCAGCAAGTTCTTCAGCAATAAGCATTCACACTGAATTTTTGCAGGAAATGCAATTTCTCTAGTTAATGTTTGTTTGTCCGTCACGTTAGCAAAATACCTCATGAACCAGAGAACGGTCTTTAATAAAACCAGGTAATGATCAGATTTTCATCCACTACGCGATTGGAGCCAACTCCATTCAAAATGGCCACCACAACTAATCAGCAGCCGTAATAACAGCTGAAACTTGTAATTTTACAGATAATGAGCTAAAGTTCAGTAGCTGAACTGATCCCCAACTCTAATATCTAACAGGTCTTTGGTGAAAACTTTGGCGGGCGATATGCATTCCTGCAAGAAGTTTAAGTTTGCTTATTTTTCTGTCTTAAAGCCTGACGTGCGTTTTATTGATTAATTATTTGAAAGTTGCGTTTTGTGAATGTTTGACTTTCTAAAGAAGCATTTTTAAGCAACTTCCTGTTCGGCTTAAATAGGAAGGGAGTGAATAGAAATTTGCAAAAACACAAATTTTGCAAGACTGTTTTAAAAATGTCATGTTGCATCAGTGGTTCCCAACCCTGGTCCCTGAGGAACACCACCCTGCATGCTTTAGCTGTTTCCCTGTTTCGACACACTTGATTCGATGATTTATTACTTCCTTAAGTTCTGCCGAAGCATTTTAATCACCAAATCAGGTGTGTCAAAGCAGGGAAACGGCTAAAAATGCAGGATGGTATTCCTCAGGGACTATAGTTGGGAACCATTGCGTTTGTATTTAATCAGAGCATAAACTAAACTTGTTGTATTTTGAGTAGAATTGAGCACCAAAGCGCCCTCTACTGTTCAGCTGAAGCAGCTGCAGCATGAATGCTGACCACACAAAGGAATTAAGAATATAATTGGGAAGAAACATTTTCAAATTGTGAACAATGAGCAATAACTTTAGAAATTAACAGTTTCAAAGACAATTGTTAACAGAACCGGCTGTGTTTGAGGTGACCGATGTCGTAACTGGATTCATTTGGGTACGTTGTAGTATTCATTTGATCCTGTTCACACGTAGCTTTTTATTAATGTCACCTTCTTTGGTTTGTTTTGTTCAGCTGTTTGAACTCGATTAGTTATTTTTATTTTGACCAAAGAAGCTGTGATCAAGTGATCTGTGACTCTCAAGATTTATAGTGACACTATTTTTTTTAAACTTTATTAAAATAAAACAATTCTAAACACTGTTTTTTTCTGTACTTTATTTTTTTGAACTTGTTCTGTGTAATTTGTTATTTTAGCTGTTCATTCATCCGAACGCCCAGTTCATTCAGGAATTAAATACTTTTTTGTAACTTTTGTACTCTAAACAATACTTAATATTTTTCTGTCATTTAGATCTGCAAATTCTGCTCTGTTAATTTTGTTTAAAATGTGCTTTAGCAGAGTTTATATATATGTATATATATATATATATATGTGTGTGTGTATGTATGTATATATATATATATGTGTGTATGTATATATATATATATATATATATATATATATATATATATATATATATATATATATATATGTATATAT